GGGTTGTCACACGGTTCACACCATTGCCAAGCTAACTGCAATGGTCATAAATCATAAGCCAAGCATGTGAAGCATGATTCATCCGATTCTCAGCCTGTTGATCCCATCAGTGACCTCCGCGCCTCTTTCTGCTGGTAGGCAATGCATAAAATAAGCCTTCTGGCCTGCTAGTTCCACAAGGGCTTCGTCCACCTGCAAGAATAGTTCACGTGCTTAAGCATAAAAACAAAATTTGGCCCACAGCCACCTGGTGCCCACCTATGAAACGGATGGAATGTATTTTTCAGACACTATCGATTTATCAGTATCATTTCTCGATGTCCTCTATTCTTCCATTACAAACAACAGTTACAGGTCAGAAAATGGGTCTTCAGCGGTTTATGCAACCACCATTTGGTAATATCCTACAAGGAGTCGAGGATCAGAAGTGTGTAATAATCCTAAATCCTATAAAGCATTTGTTTAATGAATGGGACCAACAAGCATAACTATCTGGTTTGTACTTTGTACCAAATTTCCAAAACTAGTCCGGTGCCTAACCATCAAAAGTTGTCAAGACTAAAAGTCACCATATGCAGACGGAGTTCCTACCATGCGCATTATCAGCTTCAGATCTTCCCATCAGAGACTCAGATGGTTCCTGATCTGATCCACTAAATAGTTGTTACTAATTTTGGGTATTTGGTCATTGTCAAAATTCTATTGAAAAATGTTTTAAAAATCTAAATTTCATCAATAAACAGTTAAAAATGAAAAAAACGTGGATTTATATAAATCTCATGTATTCAAATAATCGTATATTTACTGTGCGCTACCAAATGGTTCCATATTTCCATATTTGACCCAATTCCCCATTGATCTTAAATCAATGCACCCTAGTTGGACCTTATTATGATCTTATTTATATTCAGAGCTTTTGGGCACAACTCTAATAATGAGGGGCAGGTATGTCAGGCGTTCCTGTGATTCGATATACTCATCACCCTTTAAATATAAAAGGTCAATCATCTAATGTAATCGGGAAAATTAAAAGAATTGTACCTGAAATCCCTGGAAGACTTGATGACGATATGCAGCCTCGTCCTTTTGACCCATGCTGGCCCACACATCAGACTAGACAACATCAGCTCCTCTAACGGCTTCTTTAGGATCATTAGTTATCTCAATTTTGCTGATTCCAGCACTTCGGGCCTTCTCAATTGTTTTCTGGTCAGGCTCGAAGCCCTTG